CCAGTAAAATAAAATACAATTTTGTTTACATCTTATCTGTTGCACAAGTTGTATAGAAATTTGATCTATTTCTTGCTTTCATGAAGACTACAATTAAAAAAGGAACTTAAATCAGTGGACACTTGAATTTACTTATCAACATTACACTAAAATGAGATAATTGATATTTGGACACTTAAGCTCTACGAGTTATGCAGATCTGATCCATGCTTAGTGGTGGAGGTAGTTTAACACAGTGACACAGATGAAAATTAACCAAAATCAAAGCTAGCATCTAGTATCAGAGGGAAAAAATAAATACTGTACTGTAAAAAAAAATAAAAAATAAAAAAAAACAGTAATATATATGCATATTGGACAGCCTGAATCACATTTGCTTTACTACTCAAAGTCTTGGAACTTCTAACTAATGCACGACTGTTGTATGTCCTGAAATTTTTATCAAAAGGCCTATAAAATTCATTACCTATACAGGTGTACTGTATAGTACTGTACTATATATGTTTATCAGGACGAAGTTTCCGTGAAATGACTGAAGTTGAGTGCATGCTAATGGTACTTTCTCACTATAAGAGTCTGCCCGTTTCTTTTTCTAGGTTGTGAAAGGAAATGTTCTTGTGCATTCCAGATCATGTGCCATTTAACATTTTAGTTATCAATACATGTAATTAAATTTTCATTTACATCTGAAACAAAAGGAAGGCATATACAAAATTCTTTGCAGCAAACTGTACATATTATGTTGTGAAGCTATGAATTAAAATACAGTAGTACTTTGCAGCATAAATAATATTCTATTTGAAACTTAAATTAAGTATGTGCTGTACATTGCAGCAAAGTAACTTCACCTGACATGTTTATCTATACAAAAGTTATACATATATGCCTACTGGTAATATCTCATTCATCAGTTATCAAAAGCCTTGCCATTCTCTGATGTACTCCAATACATACAAGGAAGCACTAACTTGTCTGGTTGAGCCTCCATCTTTCAATATCAAGTGATACAAGCTATTAGAACAGCAGAGCTCACCAGACACAGTTCACTTTGTAAATAACCAATTTAATTATACACCTCTAAGCATTATTCCTAAGTCTCATTATAACTTAATTTAAAACTTTGCCCAAGTAGGAGGACAACACTGAAGTGATTATATAAACACCCTTTTCCTCTGAATGCCAACAATGTATGACAAAACAAGACAGAGGCGACCTTTATTCAACAAGCATCATCAGGCAATATCATTAAGCTCTCCATTCTGCCATTACTTCATATTTAAGAAGTATTAGTGCAGATGGACTCTAACATTAAGTAAGGTTAGGGCCCAGTTGACCAATCATCACAAATATATAGTACCAGTAATAGCAAAAAATGAGAGATGATAATCTATTAGGTGGTCTACTTAATACTGTTACTTTGACAGAGCAAAGGATCAAATATTGACTCTACCAATACTAAATAAATATTTAAATGTTTATTATAATTTGTGGACAATAAAAGAAAAAAATTATAAGCAATATATCAAACAAATATCTTTGGGAGTGTTACGGATTCTTGTTTTAATATAATCATTATTCTTAAGCTGTACTTTGGGTCTACCTGTAATATATAAAACTTTACACCAAACAGTATGGCCTATCTAGACCAACATCTTAACAAAATTACAATTTCGGATTTTAAATTAAATTAATATTCTTTGTACTGTATTTCATCAAGATGAGTTCTAGTTACAAGATTAACAGTGATATCTCCGGGTAACGAGACGATTCTCTCAAAGCCAGAAAAAATCCCCCATTCCCGGAATTTTCTGGGTAATGGAAAAATGTTCTCAGAAGTTCCAGAATGATACATTATTTCATCTCCCAAAGCCTGAAAAAAATCCCTCATCCCTGGATTTGTTCAAAATTTTCCATGTAACAGAAAAATATTCTCACAAGTTCCAGAAATTATGCATTACATCATCTTTCAAACCTGAAAAAATATTCCCCATCCCCAGAATTTTCCAGTTACACACCAGAAAAATTTTCTCGGAATTTCCGGAAAATGCGCGTGATTTTCATCTCGACCCAGGAAAAAACTCTCCCTTCCCCGGAAGTTTCCAAGTACTACTAGAAAAATTTTCCCGGAATTTTTCAGAAAATGTGCCCCTTGGAACATCGTTCCCAAAGCCGTAATTTACCGGAAAATCCCAGCTTTGGGAACGATTTCCCAAGAAAATTTAAATTCCAGCTATCGGAGAGTTCCAGGTTTGAGGGATTCCGGCTAACGGAGATATTACTGCAGTGTGAATTTTGCTAAATATATCCTGCAGGCAGTATACCCAAAGAGGCTGTGAAAAATGAGGGCCAAGGAGGTTGTGTAGAGTAATTATTTAACACCACGAGATATTACGGCGACTTTTATCAAACCTATACCCAGTACATTTAGCTCCAACTTTTCTATTACCAGATGAATGAGGGTTTGTTCTGAACCAGCCCAGGCATCAGTCATATTGACCAGCACCCAGTTCAAGATGAAATTCAGTGATATTTAAGTCAAATGCAATATAGTTCACTGATGCTTACTCCCTATATTATATAAACTGCCTTCACTTTAACATTACAAAACATATCCTAAAATTCTTCCTTCACTTCAAAGATCTACCAAATAATAAAACCAATAAAAAAGTGATATTAATTTATAGGACTTCAGTAAACTCTAACCCCTACACTACGGGGACACCACTTATTTTATTTGTCTCATGTCGGACAATCTTATTTAGCACATAGGCCCACCCCCTTACACAAAGGGTTAACATACAGAATCTAAGAGAGCAAGGTCAAGCCAGATTCTTAAAATGTTTCGAGTAGTTAAGAGCATTATTTAATTGACCAATTTTGACATCCTGTTCACGGGATTGGTGTAAACTTTATCTAACGCTAACACTGACATAGGTTTTAATACCGGTCCATCTTAATGTAGATTATTTACCGTCTAATACACAAACAAGTAAAAGTAATAAGATTAAGTCACTGATAATAAAATACCGGTGATACAATACCAATGTTGGTGTTTATGTTGGAATAGGTTGTATTTTGGGGGCAAAAATTCTTGAAATTGAAACATTCGAAATACAATACAGCTGACTGACTATAAAAATTCAAATATTCTTAAAACACAAAAAGGTCTGTGGAATTTATAAAACATACTTTGAAGTATTAGCTAAGCAAATAAAAAAAAAGGGGGAGAGCACTTACCCTGACCACGTCTACAAGGCAATAATGTATTGTGCTCTATATTGCGCTTACATGCTAATGTTTACATGTAACTTATATCATCATGTACTGTACTGTACTCCCATTCTATATCACAGCTGAAATGTACATAAAGAGTAGGCAGGGTGCAGTGACCACTTGTGATGAAGATGGAAGGCTCACAAACTTATGTTACTGGTTCACACAGGACTGGATAATTCAAATTGCGGCTTGAAAATTAGTATCATCCTAGGGTTACGAGCTCGATATTAAAGAATTTACTGTGATAATTATGATTTTAGAAATATCAGTACAGTAAGGTGATCTCTTTGGTTGCACTGTACTACCAAGCTCTGTGCTGGAATTATCCCAACAAAAACATCATACAGCCTATGTAATAATATCTTAATTTACTAGGTACACACAGCAAAAAATTATCTTAACAGTTGGGTACGATGGATTCCAAAATGAACACTACGGCTCCTGTTGCATTGGAAGAGCTGGTATGTCTCATTGTGAAGTGCATTTCTTAATAATGTTGTAAGAGTATTTGTAGCTCCTCTTTATATTACAATACAACCTCTTAAAATAAGGACACCTCATTTTGCTTTGTTTTACACATTTAGAAAAATCCAACTCCTGAGATACATTACCATCTAGGATTATAGCATATGAAATGATGTGTAGCTACAACGAATTATTTGGCATTACCTTTGTTACCAATAGTATTTGTTTAACTGTTATGCACTATAAAAAATATATGGATTTAATGTTTAACTTGGCAACCAACAATGTTTACAATAAAGCACTCATCCGCACACTGCAAAAGGTGCCAACTCCACTTTTAAGAATCAGTATACCTCTGTTGTGTTCATCACTTCGAGAGGTTTACCTTTGCTGATTACAATGAGTGAGGTTAGATTTTGTTTCAAAATTATTTCCAAATACGGAACACCACCCGAGTCAACGTGTAAATTTGTCATGATCTTGGTATTCACCATGGAGAATTCAGCAGCATTGCTTGCAACCATTACCATATTAATCTTCACGGTGAGGGCCTAAACGTTCAGGAAATTGCATGGAGGAATGGTGTCTCAATGCTAACTGTATCACTATGGGTAAGGCGTTATCAAAATCCTTGCTGTACACCTCCAAGTCAAGAACAATAAATAATCTACAAAAATACCTCCTGAATCAGGCTGTAGCAGCTACCGGTGAAGCTGTTTCATTCATCACCCTTGCCTGCATTCATGAAAAGCAAGGGGTAAGGTACTCACCACAAAATATTAGAAACAGGTTACACTCCACTGGGCTGCATAGCCACACTTTTGCCTATACAAAAAATTTCTACTGAACAGAGCATCTGCTGTCATTTGTTACTACATGTATATAAATAAAATACTCCATTAAAAAAATTATGCCCCACAATACAAAGTTAACCATGTAGAGTAAATTATATTACGGAACATCATGAACAGCAAATAAAACACACACCACAGTACAGATAATCCACTCAATACATAATATATATATTCATAACTTCCCCAGCCATCTCAAGCTAATATACAACCAAAAAGATTACTAACTACACAGAAAAATAGCTTTGCCCTTTGCAACATGCTACAGAAACTGGCAATTTAAAAATTTTAATCCAAAAATCTATAGAAAAGTATAAAAAAAAAATCTATTAAAAAAATCCACATATAAGTGCTTAGCAAACTCACCTTTTATGTATTATAGTTCAGCAGGAATTAGACAAAATACACTTAAATCAAAAGCTTTACTGCAGTGGACACCAAACACGACAAAAATCACAGATAACAACATAAGCCTTCAAATCTTTCAACGGGCAAAGTAAAGCTCCCCCAGTTTCTGCCACCATAGAATACAGCTACTCCTCGACTTACGGCCAACTTGACTTACGACCACCCGGACATACAACCGCCCCAGTCGTACCAAAATTTTTTCAAATTACATATTTTCGAGTCCCGGTGTTAGTGATTGCGCTGTGTACTGACAAAATTTTCGTTTGTATTTCCCTTTAAAGTGGCTGGCAAGCTTAAAAGTGAGAGTTTTGTGGTGCTGAGAAGAAAAAGAGACACCCATTTTAGATTTTGTATGTATTATCTTCACATTTTCGACTTCCGACCAATTCGACATAGGACCTGGATTTGGGTCCCTAACCCCGTCGTAAGTCGAGGAGTGGCTGTACTGTACTGTACTGGTAGGCTAGCTGGAAATTTTTGCCACAAATTTTTATGGACACCCAAATTTACTAAGCAAATACAACAAAAACTCAACAGAAAAGTAAATTATGTCTTAGACAAAAGCAATATGGAAAACTTCATGTTGTCCAAAATATAAACTGCACCCCAGGACCTAACACAGTTCGTTATTTCGACAATAAGTTATAAAAATGGCAGCACACTTAAAAAGAGTTATGTACAAAACCCAAAGAAAGCCTGGGAATCAAAGGGTTTGTGGCTTATAGACTGAAAAAATCAAACACTTGGAACTAGTGACCTAAGTGATCAAGTGGATATCTACATGTTTATGCGTTAATTAATTATTAGTCAAACTGTTAAATTATATACGAGTATGTCACATAAGTCAACGTAAGCCAATCATTTCAGATTATGGGCTGCAAGATTATTCTTAATACAGTCCACATTCAAAGTGAACATCAGCTTTGTTTAAGCCTCCTGGCACCAAGTTAAATATGTCAACTTTAAATATAGTTACTCTTGGTGCCTGAAGATACCGTGGCAACCTGTCAGATGGCAGTGATTATGATGCAGTCTCTTGCAAATTCATAACTTTTGATGTTATTCTTTAAGTGACATGACTTTAAAAAGAATCTTCTGAACTGACCCAAATACCAGTTGAAATGGGGAATTTAGGTGATGGTTAGTTGAACATGAAAGCCAAGCTTAAAAATTGGTATATATTTGATCCCCTTCTCCCAAAAGTACTTTATATGGATGCTCATCTAATATCAATATGCAATACAGTATATCATTATCAAAACTGGTTGTAGTACTGTGTAATTTTATTCATAACATTCATGCATATATTATTGTGCAATATTTTTACAAACTTACAAGAGAATATCGACTATAAAATCTATCACCACACCCATAAAAGGTTACACATAGTAATTCAAATTATTAAACCACTGTTATTTCCTAATAGTTTCTTCTTTCTTCTTACTCATTCTACTTTACTGTAGCCAGCATGTTTCCTCTTAATGCGGGCATATGGACCAATGCTGGGATCAGTTATGAAGTCATAAATTACTTTTACCCACGAATTATGTTGTGGCAACTCATCATAAAACTCTGGAGCCAGTTCTTTAACCTAACAAGAGAGAGGGAAAGTTTTACATTAGTTTACAGCACTATAGCAGCTAATAGCATATATAAACATTGTTAAAGCTAATATCACAATACAGTAATTACATCTAAAACTTTAGAAAAACCAGAACCATATCTCAAATTAAGAGGTGTCAAAGATAAGTCTTGCCCTGATCCACCAGCACCTACCAACTACATGAATTTGACATTCTTGTCCTATACAAATGACTGGAAGCTAACATCTATGCAAACATTTAAGTAAACTATTATTATATGCTTATCAAAATAACCAAATTAGGCCTTCTAAAATATAATTTTAGTTATCCAAACTCCTTAAAACATACCTTAGGAAGTCGACATCCTGGGACATAAGGAAAGTCATGATGTTCATTATGGTAACCAACATTAAAGGTAAGGTAGTTGAGTGGCCCATAATAACTGTATGTCTCAAAGCCACGTTTAAACATGTAATGCTCCGAGATAAAATGGCCAGCAACTGGATGAAGACCCATAGCTAGAAGAGATCCTGCTGCCAAGTATGTAAAAGCTTTACCTATTGGGAGAGAAAAATAAATAAATTAGTGATACAGAGACAATCTTTGTCATAGCTATACTGTACTGTACATTAGTTACTGATTTTACATCTGAGTACATACTATACAGTAATTAAATACCTTGAACTGCAAAAAAAATATATAACGTATTGTCTTTAAGCAAAGTTGTATTAAAAAACTCATTATAAAAGTTATCTATTTCTGTTTTCTACAATAAAATAAAGTAAGGAGCCTTAAAATGATTAATTCCCCCCCCCCCTTTTTTTTTATATCTGAAAAAAAAAATCCTGTAAGAGATAAGCATCATACATAACTGCAATTAAACTTGCACGTGCCAGCTTGGCCAAGTAACGGCACAGATGCTAAACTTACCACCCAAATAGTAGAAAACTAAGAAATTGAAGCCGAGTTGCAAAGTTGTGTTGATGACCTCAAGCATGGTGGGCGTCTTTGGGTATGTAATAAGTGGACGCAGAGCATAGAACAATGGCTGGAAGAACATCCACACCATCTTCCCAAGAGTTGTACAAAACAGTTTGGCTTCTAAGTCTGTTGGAATGTCAGTGTCCAGTTTCTCATCCCCTTGGAACTGTAAGAGTATTTGAAATTAGTAAGAATTACAAATAATGTAATTCCTAGATTTACCTGTACAAAAATTCCAAAGATGATGCTGAATACAGAACTTTATAAAAAAAAATATTGAAAAGAATATATCTGAAGGGACAAAGACCAATCCCTTTACCAGTGATTAAGATGCTGATCCATTTTACCTTCACACAATAAACTATGGCATTTATGTATCATTTCATTAAAAATAATAATGGTTGCCCCTCTTGTAACGAGGATGGCCGGCCCTAGGGCCACCTAGGCGTGAATTTGTTTAAGGTGCAGAAGCTGTCACCAACACAACAATCACACCCTAAGTTAATGAGTTGCATGACCCAGTGTCAAGGAATAGTCCGAGAAGACCGGACAAGTCGCCAACTGCACTGGCTAACTACCCAGGTTTGCAATTACTGCTGGGTAGACAGAGGCAAATGGCGTAAAGAAACTTGCCCATAGTTTCACCCTGCCCGAGGATTGAACTCAGGTCCACTCGCTTGCGAGGCGAGGATGCTGACCATTACACCACAGGTCGCCTAATCATTTCATTATACAGTAATACACACACACACACTTTATATACAGATCATGTCTCACTAGTTTGGATCTAATACTGATGTAGGTAACTTTTTTCTTTAGAGTCATTTCCCAAATCAACAGAGAGTTCTTGTTACTCATTCATTCTAGCTGCTGATTATAAAATGATGCCATAAACAATCCCCCATTTCTAATACAAATGTCTAAGGTTCACAGGAGATAAATATTGATACCTGTAATACTAACATTAGTCCAGTGTAGTAAAATCAAAATCACATAGAGTACTGCACTTACTTTATGGTGTTCTAGATGGTAGCCCTTAAAGGATACTGAAAATGGTAGAACGATGGGAAAATTGGCAAATATCCCAAGAATGCGATTGGATAATGGTCTTGAGTGTCCGAAGGCGAGGTTGTGAGAAATTTCATGAATAGCTGAAAGTTATGGAAACATCAGTTAACCTTTGCATATCCTCTAAACCAAATGAATAGTTAACATAGAAAATCTCCTACTTTAGCTGGGAATTCACAATATTTAGGTGCAGTACAAGGGTCAGAGGCAATATGAAGAGATTTGAATGAAATTAATATATATAAATTTTAGACATACTGGATAACTGCAGTAAGGCATGGAATGTTTTTTGACTACGTATATAATGATAACAAAGGAATGATTAAGACTTTTTACTTTAGTATATACCTACAGTTAAACTCAAGATGTTTTGACCATCAAATACAAGTAATAATGGGATATTATACACATAGCCGTGAACAGTTGAAACCAGCCCGAGTGTAAAGTGAATTGGATAATAGGTTAGCCACAGGTCAAAATGAAATCCTTGTCTTAGTGTTTTCTAGTTAAATATTTATCCAATTATCATAAGAACACATTTCACAACACTGACAAATAAATTTATATAGAAGGTCATACTACACTAACAACAAATAATAATGAAAGAAGTACTGTAGTGTGGGAAGACTAAGCTCCTCAACATGGAGATTAAATCCTGAAATTCCAAAGCGAAGTCAAGATCCAGGAGAGCCTTGATTTTGTGGCCGGTGCAGATTCATGAACCAGTTACACCTTACCATCACAGCTATACCCATAAAAGGGATACATTAAAGCAACAGCCACTATTTACAGTAGAAATAAACAGATAATGATGTCATAGTAAAATGTGTGCAACCTTATTTCCCATCCAAGTAGGCCATCTTGAAGTAAAGGTATCAGCTCTCACTTTCAGCCAAGTTGCATACTACTTTTAAGAAGGATGGAGAGTTGCCAAGTTGCGAAGATTATTTCCAGGGTTCGCAATAAATAAATAAATAATAATAATAATCCATTTATGGCCTGAAACCCACAGCCAAGAGTCCCAGGTAGCTACTGAAGCTAAAACTGGTACTGTACTGACATGTCTTCAAAATGGAAACACTTCTCAGGAGGTAGTTTCTATTTGTATAAAATAAGACGGAGAACAAGTCAATCAACAAGACTTCATCTTGCCAAATACTACTGAGGTGACATATGGTAATGTAAACTATTATGGTCCATTTTCTAACCCCCAAGCTCGTGTTATCTCGTATCAGACACATGATAGTATGTGTAGGAGCATCACCCGATAGCTAAATCCGTAAACAAGTCTTCCACATGCTTCAGATAGTGAACTAGATATGCCTCCACTCAAGCAGTCCTCATTTTCTAAAGTAAAAATGGTTTCTGACTAAATCAATCAGATTAAAGAATTGTTTATGCTGTATGGTCTAATGTATTCCAAGAGCCATGGACAAGGGAATACAGTACAGTGTTGTATACAGTATCTGATTGACTACACAGAACCCAGAAATTTCCCATTAGGAAGGTCATCAAAACAAACCAAAATTTTGTAACACTATCAACCCAAAAATTGCCTTAATGCAATAAAATACATTGGGAAATACTGTATGTGGAATAATTTATATTTTTACAAAGTACAGTATTATAAATCAAGATCCAAATACTGCACTGAGCTGTATCTCAGCTATGGTTGGAGGAGGCAGAGCTGACAGGCAGATCATCTGAACATTGTCAAGGTACAGCTGAGACTGGGGGTTGATGCCTGGAATCCAAGATGGCCAACAGGCATGAAGTGAGGTTTGTGTATATCCTAATACAATACTGTATAATGTCACACCCCCATTACCTTCTATTTTAAATGGTGGGTGTTGCCTCTAAAGAATGTTTTTAGGGACTGTTGAGACTGGGAAGCATACAGTATATAATTAGAGTAATTCATGATTTAGTCTCAGCCATTAATGTTGAAGGTCTCCAAAGTATAGGAGCCCAAGTACACTATAGGCAAGTGGCCACAAGACATAATTGTAATTTAAGAAAAAAAATTGCTAGCTAACAAAATGTGTTTAATGTAACAATCTGGGTTGGTATGATTTAAATCAGCAATTTTTGACACAATAAAGCATAATAAATGAATATTTTCATATTAATGTACCGTACATACAATTTAAACTCCTCTTCAATCTTCATAGCAAATCAATGACTAAAAATAGCACCCATGACTCAAAAATTAATAAGAATAGTTCTTAATTAATATAAATTTGCCAGTGAATTGATTTGATTTGTTTCCTGTTGTATCAAATTACTGTATACTGTATGAAGCATAGCTGTACTGGCTATCAATTCCATTTACCTCTGTAAGAACATGCTTCAAAATACCTGTACATGAACAGAGGAATTCCTGCCAAGAGGTAAATTTTGGTCTTACTAAAGTAAATTCGAAAGCAGTAGCTTTATTTTAGTTTTACTTCTCCTTATCTGACCTAAATACAATGCAGCATAAGAATTAAACTTGAAATAGCAAGGCTTTATTCATTGGTAATTTTCATGTTTTTTCACATTAATACAGCAGCACAAATATTTGATTTCTGTGCACAACAGTCGTAATTTCATTATGACATGATTTAAAACATTGTCTTGTCATAAATTCCTTATGATAGTTTTTTCCAACCCTAGACTGACAGTTTTTTTTACAAGTTACAGTACAGTGACCCCTCCGTTAATGAACTCAATCCGTTCCAGAAGGTCGTTCGTTAACCGAAAAGTTCGTTAACCGAAACCATTGTTTCAATGGGTTTTTGGGTAATTGGTTCCAGCTCACCGAAAATTTCCTAAATTCAACAAAAATGGTAGAAAAGTTCACTTACTTTGAGGTGTGTATGTAGAAGGCTCCTGGATGATGATGATGATGGGATTTAGAATGGGGGTGGAGGAGAAGGAAGAAGAGAAGGCAATGGGGTGGAAGAGAAGTCACCCCATGGCACCATTTCACCCATAAAATTTTCGCTTTCTTGGTGTAATTCAAGATTATTTTCTTGAAATCAACACTGCACTGCATTATATATTGTCAATATGTAAAATATATTTCAAAATGACCAATAATTTGCTTGGAAACACAGAAAATATGCGTTTAGTTGAAGAGAGTCTCAAGCAAGATGTTACCTCCAGTGAAAACAGAGAGAGACTAACTCCTGTTTGCTGTGTTAAGAGGCTGGATGCCGCGCATTAAACTAGTCACTTTACCTTCAATTATGTTCAATAATTGTTAAAATGACTAAAAAATTTGAATATTAAACTTTTAAAATTATTGAATAGTATAAACTTCTTGATATTTACTAAAATAGTAAGGAATTTAAGCCCTAGAACCGATTAATGTATTGGCGGACTGATACTAAAGCTGGTTGCCCGGTCAGTGCAAGCGAAAACATGTTGAGGTCGGTTCGTAAGAACTTCGTTAACCGAATTTTTTTTCGTTAACCGAATTGAAGATCCTTATGGAAGGCAGTTCGTTAATCGAAATTACGTTAACCGAGGTGTTCGTTAAACGAGGGGTCACTGTACTGTACAAGTTGTCTTTGTTGAAACCAGTTTCACAAGAACTGGATTTGCAGTTCCATAGATTACCTCTGGCCACCCCTAATTTATTTATGCCTGGTCTAAGTTGGCACATACACAGGTCAACATTCCACTTATAAACTCTTATGATGTATGAAATACATCCTGGGAAAACACGTTGGGTGAGAATGCACTCAATGTTTGTTGTGTGAAAACATTCGTTCTACACACTGACTTGATTTCAACTTTTGCCACTGAACAAGGCTCTTCCACAACACCAATCAATTTCAACAACAAGTAAAGAACCATTTTGAAGCCTAAGATGTTAACACAAGAAACTATGTATGAAACATTGACAATAATGAGGTTACCATAAAAGAGAACCTGTTGACAATGAAGAGGTTGACTCATTATCTGACTCTTGCTAACCAAGTGATCCAGAAAGGGAAAGACATAGGTCCTAACATGGAGCAAGTCTACAAATTGGAAAGTTGATAACATCGTGATTCTACACATGGCAAAACAGATTCAACACAAGCGCCCACTCCCCAACAGCCAGTAGTGCTAGTACATCCAGTATGCCTACCAGCAGACAAGCTCAATCTATGACTCCAGCAGCAATACAATACAGTACCTATGTTGACCCACCTGAGCTGCCATCTTCTCCACTCAATATGAACCAACTGCAACCCAACAATGACCCAGACACTCACGCGCCATAGTTTCGATGTACACTCTACCCCTACTCCTGGCTCGAGGGAAGTCGTAGTCAGGGCTGCAAACCGAACGGTCCCTCTTGTATAGTGATGTTAAATAAAGTGTTGTGAAGACACTAAAAAACCTGTATCGTGCATTTATTCTCTCAAATATTACATCATGAACTGCTATTCGTAAAATCCAGCGAAGCTTCGAGCTACCACAATGCACCACTGAACGATGAGTGGGGGGAGGGGGGAAGCTCGGTATGAAGCCAAGGCTACGACTTCCATCGAGTCAGGAGTAGGGGTAGAGGGTGCATCGAAGCTATGGCGCGTGAGTATACTGTACCATAGTCCTCTGCACTCACCTAACACCAGTTTCTCCTTATACAAACAACAAAATGTACAGTATTGACATAAAAACGTATTTAACTTAATTGTTTACTTACTAATATTGGTACATTTTTAGTTATAAAATTTCTATTCAAATATGCATGAAAACTTATTACAGTATTTGTACAGACATTTCATCTAAATAGGAGCTATGGTTATCGTTGGGATAGTAAGCTCCCCTTTTACGAGGGAAACACATGTTCATTTATACCGGCCTATTCTAGGAACACAATCCCCAGCACAAACAAGGACAATCTCTTCAGTGTTCTGTATTTAATTTTGACAAAGGGGAGTGGAGGTATTTTAACATCTTATAAGATTCAATTCTAACAAGAGGTAGTGATGGTGGAATTAGTTCAGTTGTGTGATACCTAAAGTAACAACAGTATATAAAAATTAACACTTACCTAACATGAGTGAATGGTTTATTGTTCCTCCTATACAATACGAGAGGATTAAGACCCATGGCCATGACAGCCCTCTCACCACGAAGAGAGAGAGAAACTGGAAGGTCACCAGCACCAACACCCACCATTTTAGATGAGGATCATTCCCAAATAATTCCTTTATTTCTGGATGTTTCTCTGTTAGGAACAGAAAATAAAATATTAACAAATATCTACAACATAACCATAATGAATTAAAATATTCTTAAGTATACCTTAATAAACGACAGAGATGCAAGTAAGGGTAAGCAGATCAGTCACAACATAAGTGCATCACAACTCTTAGAAAATAATGATAATCAACTCATCTTAGATCTCGTGATTTACCCTCCCGGTACATAGCTACAATGTTTGGTTAAAATCTACTGTAAATTGCTCCTGAATTTTGTGCAAGATAAGTTTATATATTTTAAAATCTTTAATAACTTCTTTATTTATGCAAGTGCAAGTGCAAGATTCATATTTTATTTCTTTGATCATTTCACAGGTTATCAGAAGAGTAGCTTACAGTATATAACTCCCCATCACTGAGGGAGGCACACTTTTATGTCTGAAGTCAATACTACAGTACAGTACTACATAGAATGATGTCTCAATCTGTCTTCAATACCATAGGTGTAGTATTTAGCTCTTATAGCTGTATCAACAAATACACTGCACTGACAAGCCTTTGAAAGTCCATGACCCCCCCATGGCCAATCATTGTGATGTTTTGCTGATAAAGCATGTTGTGGAGAACAACTGTGACAACACAAATATTCCCACATTGTGTAGTACAGTACTACCGTACCTGATTTGAGGGGACACACATACTGCTGTTGTGGACGGTTTTCCAACAACAACCTTAACACTCCATGAGATGTTTAGCAACTACTGCAGAGGCTGGTAAAGTTATCTTACCAATATGATGTAACTATTCACCTTCTTGGTAACACTGCCTGTGAAGCAAAGAGGATGTTTAAAAAGATTGACTGTGCACACTGTCATCAGTAATGTGTGGAGGAGAGACCTAATGCACTTGAGTTACCCCCACACCAGGGATGCCAATTTAGCAGAAAAGTTGCTAAATCTACAGTACTGTAGTTGATTCCTGTTTCCGACTTATATTGTACTTCACAACTGGCAGATTGATTTTTTTTATAATTTTGTCGTCATTTAGTGGACTAACACACAGTCCTGAAGATGAGATGTTTGTGCCATTAAACTTAAGCCCTCAGCTCAGTATCGTGAGGACTGGCTGTTATACTCATAGGGACAAGTACGGACCGTGATAAAAATACTCATTTGAATCAAGAATACTAATACAAGTGTAGAATAATTGAAAATACTGTATACACTATAATCCAAGGTATACTGTGTAATCCAAAGAATACATTGTACAGTAGACCAAGATAGAAAGTATAATCCAGAGTATTCAGTGTAATCAACAGTATAAACAGTGTGTGTTAAGGCACAGTATACCATGTACTGTACTGTACTTCAATCCAGATATTTTTTTCACTAACCATAACAACTTTGGGTTAACTCACATGAATCTTAACCTTTCATTATGGGGAAGTCACTTTTAATATTTTACTGTACTTGGCTTGACCCAGACGATTTTATTCAACATAGACTCCCCTGTACTCATGGGGTTAACAACATACGGGAAAACTACTCTTCTTTACATATCACTTCCTGAACATCAATCACAAGTACCGGTACTCATATTGTGCCATACTGTTATCACTAAGGTACAGTATCTGGGTTCCATACACTTCACCCTACCTAGAGCATTTATCTTTCATAGATAAAGATATCTTTCCAAGTCTCTATGCCCAAGGTCACAGCTCAAGGTCGTAGATCAAATATGACAATGGACATAGGATATACAGCTGTCTCAATTATCATGTCATCTTAAGGAGACACTGCATTTTGTCAAGACACAATTTTTCTTTCTTTCAGTTTTCTTCATACTAAATTTTGCCTTCACCTCTCTATTGCTTAAACCACTCGTACATCATTATGTCAAGCTCTGTTGACCTTGCACCATGCAATGATTTATGCTTGACCATGCCCTTGTTTGTTTCACTATCAGCAAAGAATTTCTAACTCTTGTCATGCTGCCTCTTATTCTAAAGCAATTTTCTAATACTGGTCAGCAAATTTGTGCATTAAAACACCCCTGTCTAGTTTATCTACTGTACTGTATTTCATTATTGTGAACATCATCAACATTACCGGGTATGTCTGTATTTGGAAGACAAAGTAGAATGGGTAAACTCTCAGTATCATGCTTGAATCTTGACGTGCACTTAAAATAAAAAACTGCATATTCTTCAGCGTTTCAGATTCTTGATATTTAACTATGTTAGAATAGTGTGGATAAGGTGCAAGTACCAGAGTAATAATTAAAGCTTGCAACAGTAGCTACCTTTGTATAGAGTAAAGGGGGCAATGAGAAAGAAATTATAAGAAAATCAATTGGTACAGCATACAATACTGTACCTGGAAAAATATAGGGTATGGTTGTATATGTAATTGAAGGGGAAAAAATTGCAGTGCAGGATACATGAGAAACAGAGAATTTAAGAAAGGGAGGGGATGTGTAGATCACATAATACAGTAACGATAAAACTGTTTGGAGAAAGGTAAACATACCCGGTACAACTAGAGAAGGCTTATGAGAGGAAGGAGGACTACTGGTGAGAGTAAAGGTGACAGGGTTGTGTGATGTCTCTGTGGGTGTTCAACAAACATACAGTACCGTTTAGCGATAATTCACTTAACGTTAATTTGGTTTAGCGATAAATTTTTTGACAGTTTCTCACTTTACATTAGGTGAAAATCCCAGTTTAGCAATAGCTTGACTCACTGGGAAGGGGAAAAACTTGGGTCAAGGAGGCCTGCGAGATGTTGCCATTGCACAGTCGCAGACAAAAGTTGGCTCCCCGTGGTGAAACAGGGTCACAGGAACGAGTCTCTGAACTTATTAAGCCTGGCTGTCATCTGGTGCAGGTGTGCTGTTTTATCTAATTTGGGGTTGATACTCCTTCAATTTGGGAGTGAGCAAACTTTTGACCCTGACTGTACAGTAATAAAACTATTAAAGTTGTGGTAAAAAATATTACAATACTGGTACGTACTGTACAGTACTGTATCCCCCTATTTACGATAGGGTTGCTTTCCTGAAAACCTTAATGTAAACTGAATTAACATAAATCACGAGCCTTTTAACATGGGTTTCAATGGGATACGTTCTTGGCCTGTCCAACACAGACATGTAACAGAAAAAACAAAGATCATACACTAATTAAATAAATACAAAAAATATAAACACCACTCACCACATTAATAATAACAAGCCTACCACTTAACAAGGTCCAACTTTGTCTCCAGACAGGTTCTTCCACAAAGCCTTGCCTTTCCCAGAGGCAGGAAGCAGTACACTTGCTAGCCACTTTCAGTTACAGAGTTACACTGATCACTTCACAGTAACCAAAACAGAGCAAAATCTAAACAATATAATTTTACTCTCACCAATAAAGGCAAAGTATCACAGTGATCACAAGGCTACGCAATGATTAATGACGATAATGCGTTACATGAGCAACGGCAGATGGGACCATGTTGAAACAAAAACGCGGACTGTAGTTCACAAGGTGGGCGTGAGGGGGGCACCCAGATAGGTGACCTGGACAGAGGATAGAAAGACAGTTTCTGCACATATCGGTATTTACATTCTGTGTCAGAGAGTTTAGCCTAACCATAACTATATATTGTTAACATGGATTTTGCCTAACACAACTACAATAGCAAGAGGGGGTTAAAACCTATTTAACGTTAATACAGATTATTGTAAATTGGGGGATACTATAGCTACCTGGTAACTGTACTCTAATGTGACTTGGAAATAAAGAAAATATTATATAAAACTATAAAATAAGAAAAATTAAGAGCATAGGTGTGTATGTATGGGAAGTGAACGTATTTGTGGAGGCAGTGGGCTTTAACTGCATAACAAGCCCAGCCGTGCTTTAAGAGTACCTCCCACAATGTGATGTCATGGCATACACACAGCACAGTACTGCAGCAGTCACACATATCTGAGTCAGCTGGGTTATTACCTGGCTGAATTGTCAAGTCACCTGAGAATGGTTTGAGTGTGGAAGGAGCTATTTTTTGTATATAAAATATGTGCTATTGCAATTTTATGATATGCTATGTATCAATTTTATCGATTATCATTGCAGTGTTGTTGTTTTTTCATTTTTTATGTATGAAATTTGAAATTTCTAAGAATTAGGCTCACTTCTTGCTCACTAAATCGTTAAACTCTGAACCACATTGTTTATATAGAATTTTGGTATTAATAAGTATATTATTTAACTTCAAAACCGTTTATAACAAACTTGTTTACTATATTATTAGGGAGTACAGCACCTATACTGGACTCCGTGTTTACCGCCCTGCTGTGTGAACCTGCTGGTTCGCCTTACGTGCTTTACGATTATCCCTTGTTTAGCGATAATTTCACTAAATGTGTTGTACAGTACATATTGTGCAACACAAATTGCACTCATAAACAGCATCAAGCCAGGGAAAAACCTTGTTCAATGGCAGCAGAATTTAAACTGGGTTAGTTGTTGTTTGTTTGTTTCATAAACGACATGCCAGATGCTGAAGATGATGCTAAGTTATTGAGGGAAATTAAGAATTAAACAGACTGAAGAGCCACAAAAAGCTCTATGTCACCTTCAAGAGTGGTCGAAATAATGGCTGCTAAGATTCAACGTCACGATGTATATGAGGATGCACCTTGGTTGTACCAACAGTAAGAAGGCGTATCACATGTCCCAACAGGACAAAAAAACAGCATTAACAGACACCAAATGTGAAAAGGACTGGGCGTGTATGTTGAAAACGAACTGAAGTTCTCTGGTCATTGTGAGAAGGTGAATCAAGCAGCTAAGCTCAATCAATCAAAGTACCGTCCTCATCTCTAGGGGTTGGCAGCCACAGTCCTCAACTCTAAATGTTCTCTGGCTATTTTTTACCAAACCTCCAAGGTTTTGTATATCTCTGGGGAACCAGTTTTTAATCTCATTTATCCAACCTAGTCTCTGTCTTCCCCTGGCCCATTAATAATTATTATTATCTGCCCATCCCTAATTATATGACCAAAGATCCCATTTCTCTTTTTCTACACATTTAAAGTACTTATCCTGAAGTTTTTGCTAATTTTAGAACAGAACCAAGGCATTTGTTCTCCTGTCCGTACAGCTTATTCTTTGCATTCGCCTATTCACCACATTTCAATTGCCTCCATCCTCTTTCTGGTGTTTGCCGAGTGTCCACGCTTCTGATCCCATACATCAGTCCTGGCCATATAAAGCCTTTCAACAGCCTTTTTCTCAAATTGAAGTTAATGTTCCTTTTCATTAATTCTTTTTGATTATTATAGGCAGTTTCCACTTAGCATATTCTTCTTTTTTATTTCCTTTGCACATCAACCATCACAGCTAATGCTATTTCCCAAATACACAAAATTTTCCACTTATTTAAAATCCTTGTGGCCTACCGCTATTCTTTTTTAGGACTTATTTCCAATTTGGAAACAACCATTACTTTCATCTTTACAACATTAACACTTAAACCACATTTTTCAACTTTTTCCATTGATCTGTTAACAAGTTCTTGTAATGTGTCTTCACTATCTGTGATAAGAGCAGTAGCTATCATCTGCAAAGTGTTAACAGTATTTGATATTACTTAACCTTTAAATTTTAGTCCATTATCACTTATAATTTATCTCATAAGAACTCTGAATACATGTATACAGTACTGTACTGTATGTTGGAGATAGAACATAGCCTTGTCTTACACCCTGTCTAACTGTGAACCAATTAGCAAATTCATTATTTACTAACTAAGCTAGTAGGTCTTAAAAGAAGGATTCAGATAACCAGTTGTTATGTCCCTCGTAACATTCTTCAAGAGTGAGGTGGTACCCCGTTTGGAATACTGTCACCCCATCTGGTCCCCGAGATATGCTAGAGACTGTCAGTCAATTGAAAATGTCCATATGTGGTCCACCAGACTGGTGCCTGCACTATGGTACCTCAGTTACCCAGAAAGATTATAATGCCTGCAATTACTTTAGCTTATACTATAGGCTGGCAAGGGGCAACTTAATTGAAGTTTATAAACATCTCAGAGGGCGTTATTCAGTCGCGTGTTCATACTTGGAGCTGGCGGATGCCCACCCCACTAGGGGTTACAGCTCAAGGTTGAAGAAGCCACAAATTTGGAAAATAGTCGGGGCAAACTGTTTCAGAGCAATAATTGTAAACTCTTGGAACAACCTGCCAAAGAGTGTTGTGACAGCACTGAGTGTGAGCTCATTCAAGACCAGACTTGGCCAACACTGGAGCAGGTGCAGAATATTCTGGAGCCTTTATGTGCCCAGTGGCTATATACTTGCCAACAGTGTGTGACCGACCGCCCAAGCGGCTAACAAGCTGATCAGTGGCAAAGAGGATAAAGTAAAATCAAAGTAAAAAAAAATCAATGCGGTACGCGTTGGGGGTTTCCAGGAAAGCAGCCCTATCGTAAAAAGAGGGACAGCTGCACTGTGTATACATATTTTACACCAGATGGGAAAAATTAGCGATTAGTGATATTTTTTACAGGTTCGTATTTCTTACTTTTGGAAACTCCTGATGGGCCAGAAATGAACATGTAGATAATTACATTAAATATACAAATGAATTGCTTCATGTAGAACCTAACCTAACCATCCCTAACTTACTTAAGGTATAATTTGGCTATCTTATAATAGTAAACTACGGTACATCTTAAATGAAACAGAACCAATTCTGTCATGTACAAATAAATTTTCTTTAAGTAATAAAAACAAAAAAATTATCATCACAATTTGACAAAACATCAAATGGTTCTTAAAGGCTTAAGCAGCAATTTTCTATATTTATTATAACATATATACCGAGGATACATAAGTATACCTAGTAATTTTGTGGTATAGTAACATGGCTACAGTAAACAGATAAAGAATAGTCATTGGTTAATATTCGTTTTAGCACATGAACCAGGACTACGAGCATTACATTTGGTTAGGTTAGGTTGGGTTTGTTAAGTTCAACATAAACACTCATTTTCACAAATAATGAAGGTCAGAACAGCACAAAACACAGTGTAATACATCAGAAGAATAAAAAAATATCCATACTGTACTCCTAAATAAAATACACACCCTATATAACCTTTTTCTGCACTGATCATTCTTGAGGGGAAAGTGAAAGTGGTCCATCAGGTAGTACAGTACTAACAATAATTACACCACAGAGAGTTTATCATCACAATATATGTTAACATACACTGGTAACAATGGCATACAACCTTTATCTATTGGAAACATTATAAAGAAGGGGAAATCCAAAACCTTATAGTATCTAATGACAATCTTCATTTGAATGCAATTTATTTTGTCGTGATAATAAAGACAATTAATTCCAATGACTCACTGAAATACATAAAATACTCATAATTCTAACACCGAGAGATAGAACAGTGCACTAATAAAAAATAATAATTTCTTTATAACTTGTTGCCAGTATACCAAAAGCTTTCAAACTGTGGTCTTAAACCCAAAACAGTTTCAGTGAGTTATAAGCAGCAAGTCATGAGATCACCACCAGTAGAGGCAGACCCAAATCTGGGCGCCTCCCACACCCACGAGTCTCCCCTGTCACCATTCATTATCTCTCTCCCCCACTATCATGATAACGTCTTTATTGACTTTTTTCCTCACTCTATCTCTTGCACAATGCTTATTTTCGACGTTTAATCACACCTAAGATTATAAAACTGTGATAATAAACCAACCATGCAACTCGTTTGAGGTGATACTGCCATAAGCACTACAATATTTAATGCTTTAATACACACTAACTTACTTAAAATTTCCTTTCGTCTTGTTGCATGAGGTTCAGCAGTGTATGTCCACTCGAAATCAGTTCTTGATACATGTTGGCCCATAGTGTAAAACAAAATCCAACACACCGAGTGCTGCACGACCTCACACCACCTCTCACAAATGAGCACTGACTCTTTTTTTAGCTGTTAGCCGGGGTGTGGTACGGGGCGACCCTCCTCTTCAGTTGCCGTGTGCTGTTGTGCAAGCTAAAAGGTTCTATTACTCATAGTTAATACGAAAATATAAAGCTGAATAGTCTTTTAAGAGTTGTTGTTTAATTTTCGGTATTGAAATTCTTTGAGATCTAATGTATAGTGATATATGTCCCACTTTTACCTGCTTTCTTAAGTACTATTGTGAGATATAATACCTGCCTGTTGTACTCATTTAATAACAATTAAAGTATATCTTTGTATGATTTTCTCCGTTGTCTGAAAGTATCAAAATAACAAGTTATGAATTTTTATCAACAGGTGCGGACATGCTATCTCTCTCTTGGTTTTACCGTTGCTTATTATTGAGATCACAATTATATAATGTAGCAATCAACAGCAGGACTCTCTACTGTTTAACACGCCATAGTATTGGGGCACATCTAAACAATTATTTACTTTTGTATGTGAAAAACTTGTTTGTTAAAAGCTTCATTTATATTTTACTTTTTTACTTTTTATTCTCTTCACCAATGATCGGCTCGTTAGTTGCAAGTACTGGGTGACTGGTTATTAGAATCAAACTTTGAGCATTAAAGACGACACATTTTTTTTCAAACAATCGGGAAACATAAAACGGATAAGAAATTAAAATGATTTTATTTTATTTATGACTGATTCCTGTACTGGATAATTTAAACATGCCAATCAATTTTATGGTAAAGAAAACATTTTTAAATACACAAATTCAAAACTATCTCGAATCTAAAACAGTACACGATGCGCTTTATCACAAAACCTAAAGACACACAGTTAGTCACAAGTGGCATCGCGTAAGTGACACTAGAGTGCAATTTTTATCTTATATTTTGCAATTAGGCGGTAAGTCATGTCATGTTTATTGGGTGTGCCTGCCCGTATACAGTGTGTAGAGTATTGACATGTTGGAGATGAGAGGCACAGAGGTGGTTGGAGTGTGTAAGGGGAGTTTTGTTTATGTATAATTATAATCACCTGACTCAGCCCTCGTCGACCAGCCAGGGTGGGCCAGGCGATCGGGCTGGTATTACAGTATAGCTACCCATATCTTAGAAGCAACACCTAACCTGGTTTCTCTCTAGACTTTCAACACGTAAGTTTAACTAGTACTTATGGTGTACACAGGTAGACTGTGCCCATTGCATCATTTATCATTGTGACAATATAGGAATATGGAAAATTAAGTACTTATTGTAAGTGTTAAGATTAGACTTATTACGTAGCTATGATTGTTATGTGAATATATATTGGATTAAACATTTATGTAGGAGTGCCTATGTATGATTTATTTGAAATACTAAATGAATTGTATTCAACAGGTTTGAACGAATTGCAATGTTCCAGTTGAACGTCACAAGTCTCATCCATCCTTAAACCGCCCAGATGGCAGTTACACACCAATTTTACAAGGTTAGACCATATTCCCATCCTGCCCATATTTTTAGTTGTTGTACTGATGTAATTACATGCATAATAATGCTAAGGCAAAATTAATTCGTGCAGCAATATACACACAGGGAAACCGAAGGATATTTGTTGAGTACTAGATTTATTATTTCTCAAAGTTTATTACCTTTGTAAAAAAAAATACTTGGTGATACTGCTGTAATTTGGACACTGGGAAATTAATCAGCCTCAGGGTTAACAAGTGAATCTGGTAGGCGACGAACATATTGACAATCTCATTATGTTAGCGTAAAATTCTTCACTGTGCACTCATTGGTAAATATCACTGGTGAAACGTGAGTGCAATATGACTCGGATGCTGAAAAATCATTACATCTCTTCCCGAGCTGAAGAACATATATGTAGTCGAAACTACGATACAGTCATGGTGGCCTAATTTACGTATAAATAAAACAGATTTTTCCTCAATTCAAAAAGTCTCATCTTTGGCCAGAAGGGAAGTATAACACGTAAATCATTGATAATCGAATCTTAGAGCCAGAAGGACTATAACAAATTCTGGTTAAATCCCGTTAAATCCTTGAAACATGGAAGCTGTCACGGACTACGATGATTGTATGTTATTGCGAAGCAAAGGCTAAAAACACTATTGTGAATGATGAAAATATCGGAATACTGTAATACAATGAATGTTTTATATGCAACAAGAACAAGGCAGATACTTTTGGAGGCTATTCCCAGCGGGGAGACAAGATAGTGTCTCAAGAAAAGGGCCACGGGACCCACTGGGCCATGTAACCAGCTGGGCCATGTAACCAGCTGGGCCATGTAACCAGCTGGACCACGGGACCCACTGGGCCATGTAACCAGCTGGACCACGGGACCCACTGGGCCATGTAACCAGATGGACCACGGGACCCACTGATCCATGTAACCAGCTGGACCACGGGACCCACTGATCCATGTAACCAGCTGGACCACGGGACCCACTGGGCCACACGACCAAATGGACGACAGTTTCTCGGTCTTCCCAGCCCATCCTTGGTCATTAAGGGTCTATGCTGTCCTGCCCTATTATGTTGTAGTGTGCTGTGTTACCACCAGGCATTGAGTATGAAAAGCAAGTCCGTGTTTGTTACTGTGTTTTGGGACTACACGGGGCATCGGGAAGTATGTTCTGTCTGGCTTTAGATGCTCGAGCCACGAAGGGAAGAGGTTAAGTTAAAGTAATATTGATCTTGAAATCACTTGCTATTACAGCCTGTAGCTTGGTGCGCCGGGCACACTCCTCTAATGGGTAATGGAGTTAATTGGAACTGAGAGGGTGGGGGTTAGATTATGTTACAGATCGGGTTATGTTAGATTAGTTAAGCTGGTTTGTGTAAGTAATTCTTCATTTTCGCTGCCTGTTTCTGGACTTGCACACGCCTGTATCACCAATATTATCCATCATCTTCATGTACTAACTACCAGTATTCCCCCCGCCTATACTGTATGCTCCCAAAATCCTATTCATTCCTCTCAAAGATCGAACTGTAATCTTTCTTGAATGCCAAAGTTAATTTTCCTTAGAAGTCTCGATAAAATTTCAATTAAGTATGAAAGAAATATCCTTTAAAACACAAGACATAATTTCTTAAAAGGTATAAATGTTGGTACTGTATTGTTCCCCGCTCCTTCAAATTAGAAAGCCTCATCATTATGCTGTACCAAGAGTGTTGTAGTTTTCCTGCCATTAGACTGTGTACATCCGGTCGATCCTTGGATACGGCTCTGGCGCACGTACAGACTACTATTTGCATATTCTGTACGTTCATAGATTAATACTTGCGTGTGTCCTGTTGTGAATAAGACAACTCGAGCAAATGACAATGGATTTTAATTTCAAGAGATATCACGGTATATACGTATAAAACAATACAGTATATCAAACGAATACGATAATCAATATTTATAGTATTTTGTCAATGATCCAAAGTTATGATGATAAACACAAACACATTTATTACCGGGTTTGGCAGAACCAGGGGCCTCATTTTCAAAAGCATTTACAGGACTGTTTCTCTTTGTTTACCCCGTAACTGAAATTACAGTGCTGGATTCCCTACCCAGAGGTTCGTAGGTTATTTTTAACTGTCTGACTCCACCGTCTATTGACTATAGATAAAATAACAGTTTTGTTAACGGAAGTCTAGGAATTGTTGTGCTTCTTTGTCGATTAGTAGAGGGCTCTTATATCCATAGATATTACCATCTTGTATTTTTATTCGGAATTGACATTATCATGCACTTCTTGTTAGATATGCAGAGTATCATATGAATATTAAGACACAGGACTTGGAGCAACGTGTACAAACTCGTAGCCTAAATAAAACGCTTAGAAATGATAGCACAACAATGTATAGAATAAATGTTTTGAGTAACATTATAATCAGAGTTTCTTACTCTTGGGTTTCCTGTTTGCTGTCAAACATCTTGCACTCCGTCGTCAGAACTCAGTATCCGGTAAAGAAGATGCGGCTGTAATGATTGAATATCAGACCATAGCTTACAGCCCAGAGAAGTACAACACATATAACAGTGAGTGTACAGACCTCGTGGTACCACCTCATACCAGGAAGACACACCTTGGGTCGGGACCCAAGGGACCTGACCTCGTCCGCTAATTACTTGAATTAGTGGGGGACTTGACCTACAACCACACCTGACCAAGACACCTGGGCATGACCACACCTGGACACAGCTGTCCAGATCTAACCAGTTTAGTGTTAATTGGCGAAGGTCAAATGCCGGCTGCTCCTCCCCCATATAAAGGTCCTACAGTCCTGCCCACGGGATTATTCCGGTCATTGTCATTCTGATTCTCAGTCTGGTTACTGTCATCTCTCTCCCGTCTGGGTCGTCATTCTGTTCACTTAAGGAGAGTCACGCTCGTCCCCTCCCCAGGTCGGGAGGGAGACCCCGGCGTCACCAGCTAAGCAGAGTCTCCCATAGGAGGCAGCCCAGCGAGCAGGTTACACGTTAGTCTTTGTCAGAACGATTCCTAGGGTGAGTTACCTACTGTGTGGGAAGTGTATTCCTTTCATGTTTGTGTCCGAGTCAGTGGCGAGTAATGTAAACATAATGTGCTAAGACCCAGATATAATATTGATATTGATGTGTCCGTGTCATTGGGTGAATTAATAAATAGTTGTATCGAAGTGGTGTTTAACAAGTTGTCCCTTAAGAACGTATTACGTGATACACACTTCGTACTGTAGTATGATTGATACATACCGAATACTGAATACACTAGACACATCTATTACTCAGTACCTTTCACAGTGGGTACATAACCGGATACTATAAATTTGACTTGCTGTCCTTCCCGTTATAAACTTGCTGTACACAAAAGTTGCCCGTAAACACATCTCACAGTCAGAAACCCAAGTTGACGGAAGCCAAAAGTCAACACGTCACGCCCTGTCTGTCCTCAGTGAATACGACGTTAAATTCAATTTAATCTGTGCAAAGTTGTTTAGCATTATGACTGCGCTAGTTGTTAGTT